GATTATGTGTACTTGAAGGTGTCACCAATGAGAAGTGTGAAAAGATTCAATATGAAGGAAAAGTTAGCACCGAGGTATATTAGACCTTTCAAGATCCTAGAGAGACGTGGAGAAGTAGCCTATTAGTTGGAACTGCCTGAGAGTTTGTTAGGTGTGCACGATGTGTTTCATATATCTCAATTAAAGAAGTGTTTGCGAGTACTAAAAGAGCAGATTCCTTTAGAAAAACTTGCTGTTAAGGATGATCTCACATATAAAGAGTATCCGATAAAGATCTTACAGATGACAGAAAGAATTACAAGGAGCCGAGTTATAAAAATGTGCAAAGTACTGTGGAATCGGTATATATAGGATGATGCTACTTGGGAAAAAGAAGAGAATTTTCGAAAGTCTTATCTGCAACTGTTTGAGTAAGCAATCATCCGAATCTCGAGGATGAGATTCATCTTAAGGGGGTAGAATTGTAACACCCTAAAATTTACATTCTTTTAAAATAGTTAAATTTGATTTATTTATGTAATTATGTGTGCATTCAAATATAAGAAAAATAATAATTTTTGTGCAATTAAAATCAATCTTAAGGATAGATACATGTTGATGCATCCATGCTGCAGCATTTTTTTAATATGTTGAGTGATTTTGATTTAAATTCAAAAGGATTAAAAAACCATTTGGAAATGAATTTGGAAATTTGATTTGGAAAAAGAAAAGCAATTCATTTCTCTCCCCTTCCCGTCTTCACTTCTGGCCTAGCTCGCTCTGGCCGAGCCGGCCCGCTCACCTCCATCCTTCCCCCTTCTCCCCTTTCTCTTCCTGGGCCGGCCCAACTCGAGCGGGCAACCGTTGCCTCCGCGCCCTCCCCTCCTTCTCTCCCGATGATTGCCTAGGCCCACTTGTCGGCGCCGTCGCCCACCTCCCGCGTCTCGCACGGTCATGGCGCAACCGCTGCCCGCGCCCACCTCGCGTCGTGGGAGCACCACCCCCTGCGCCCCGTCCTCCATAAAAGAAGCCAAGCCCGTCACCGCTCTCCCTGATGCCTCCCCACTCCACTCTCGCATTCACCCGTGCACGCGGAAGTCGCAACCGCAGCGCCGAGGTCCGTTGTCCGTCCCACCGCGCGGGCCGCCATCCCCGAGCCGCCTTCGTCTCTGATTTTCACCGTGGTGAGTTTCACCGTACTCTCTCTCTCCGACCTTTTCCCATGGCAAATGGTGGCTAGTATGGCCATTTTCGAGTGCGCCGGCGAGCTCTCGCCGCCGGCCATGGCCACCACCGCGTCGGCTGTGTCCTCAGGCTGCGTTCTCGACCTAAGCGAGATCGCCTTCACCTCCTCTCTTTCCCGGCGCCCTCGGTTCGTCAAACCGTGGCCCGAATGCCTTGTTTCCCGCTCGCCGATGACCTCCTCGCCGTCGGCAATGGCTGCGCCGCCGCGGCCACCACCGTTCCGCTCGGCGCCTCCCTTCTACCTTCCCCTTTCTAATCTGAGCCACCCATCGCTTGATCAACGACCGCGGATGGCCGATACCCCTTTGCCGTGGCAAAATTGCTAAAGAATCCCTCGGCTTTATCCTTTTTACACCCGCAGTCCTCGGCCAGATGAAAATCCTGATTTTTTTTATTTATTTAAATTCAAAAATAGTTCATTCTATTTACAGAAATGCCACTGCTTTGTTTTGCTTATAAAATCGTCGTTTTAGCTCCGAATCGACTCGTTCAAATTTTGTTAGGTTTATAATTAAGTTCTCTACATGTTAATACCACTGTCAAACATGTTTGCAACATTTAAATTTTGAGGTTAGATTTAATTAAATAAATTGCTATAGAAAACCCCGTTTAATCCATAACTTTCGTGTTTTAACTCCGTTTTTCATGAACTTCGCGTCTATGTGATCGTAGAGAGACGTAGATTCTTTTTAGGAACCTTTTTATCTTGTTTTTGTGCCCTGGTGTATTGTTCTAATCTCATAATTGTTTGTTTTGCATGAATGCCTTTGGAATGCTTGTATATTGCTTTGTTGGTCGAGTTCAGACGATGAGGAGAACGTTGTAGACCAAGAGTTCTTTGACGACCAGCAAGAGCAACCCAAGTTCGTTAAGCAAGGCAAGTTAGCATGGGATCTACCTTGATGTCCTATTCACCATTTATTAAATTCTCATTTGCATGTGTCTAATTTTGATAACCGTAAGAACATCCTAGTGATTGAGTATCCAGTTTCCTTGTCTCCTACGGGTTATATGCATATGGGTAGTTTGCTAGCGCTCAATGTAACTATACATGATCTACATATTGACTAAAGGTTCTAAAGAACAAAAAGGTAAAATTTGCTTTTCAACAACTAAATTATAGGCCGAAGGAGCAAATGACTTTTGATCATGATGCTCTTAGCCCTCCACAAGGACTTATCTGTCGGCAAAAGCTGGGACTGACAATGCAACCATGAGGGTCACATGGCTCTGACTTTAGCTCAGTAATAGGACATTTTCTAGCTTGTTAGATGTTACCTTTATGGCGTAAAATGGGCTTGCCACGTTGGGTCTAGGGCTGCCTCTGTTCCTATGCGTATAGCCGCGATGGAGATGTGCCATAGGAAAGGGGGCTTCCTACATCTGCCTGCCGAGGAAACCTAGCGGCCCTAACTTGTTAGAGAAACCTATGAAATGGTTTCATAGTGTACCACGCCCGCTCACCTTGGTAGTGTTATGAGAGTAATTAACCCGGACATATGGGAATCACGACTCACGGTGAAAGTGCACAACCTCTGCAGAGTGTTACAAACTGTTATAACAGTCGTGCTCATGGTCACGAGCGGCCCAAAAAACTCACAGAATAAATGGTTACGTATTGTTGTTCATTTATGATGTTCAACGATGATAATATGATTCAATTGATTCTAATATCTGATCATGTGGGTTTTATTAGAGCTTAAGCATAACTTGATAATAGTTGATGATAAAATCTTAACTTACTAAAAGTGCTAACCGCAGTAAACCAGAGTCATCCTTTTTGAGCTTTCATAACCCTATGTTATCTTGTTAAGTACGGAAAGTACTTACGCTTGTTTACTTTCAATATTGGATAAAAATCTCGGATGAGTAACAGATGTCAATGGATATGAGTTTCCAGAGGACTTTTAGGCTTATGGTCAACCAGTTGACCGTCCCTGTGTTGAAGCTACCATGAGAGAGCTACCTTTTTATTTTTCGCTGTGTTGGGTAAGACTATGTGATGGTATTAATCGTGATGTAAGATATACCGTGATGATACTTTTTTGTAATTTGTCAACTTATGTGTGTGACTGATCCCTGAACACAAATGAGTTTTATGCATTCAATTTTATCCTTAAAATTGGGTGTGACAACCGAGGCATAAAAACAAGATAAAAAGGTTCTTAAAAAGAATTTACGTCTCTCAACGATCACATAGACGCGAAGTTCACAAAAAACGGAGCTAAAACACGAAAGTTATGGATTAAACGGGGTTTCCTATAGCAATTTATTTAATTAAATCTAACCTCAAAATTTAAATGTTGCAAACACGTATAACAGTGGTATTAACATGTAGAGAACTTAATTACGAACCTAACGAAATTTGAACGGGTCGATTCAGAGCTAAAACGACGATTTTATAAGCAAAACAATGCAGTGGCATTTCTGTAAATAGAATGAACTATTTTTAAATTTAAATAAATCAGAAAAATCAGGATTTTCATCTAGCCGAGGACTGCGGATGTAAAAAGGATAAAGCCAAGGGATTCTTTAGCAATTTTACCACGGCGAAGGTTTATCGGCCATCCGCGGCCGTTGATCAAGCGATGGGTGGCTCAGATTAGAAAGGGGAAGGGAGATGGGGGAGGCGCGAAAGTATTGGCGGCATGCATGGGTATGCGCAGCCATTACCGGCGGCGAGGAGGTCATCGGCGAGCGGGAAATAAGGCCTTCGGGCCATGGTTCGATGAACCGAGGGCGCCGGGAGAGAGAGGAGGTGAAGGCGATCTCGCCTAGGCCGAGAACGCGGCTGGAGGACACGGCCAACGCGGTGGTGGCCATGGCCGGCGGCGAGAGCACGCCGACGCACTCGAAAATGGCCATACTAGCCACCATGTGCCATGGGAAAAGGTTAGGGAGAGAGAGGAGAGCACGGCGAAACTCACCATGGTGAAAATCGGAGACGAAGGCGGCTCGGGGACGACGGCCCGCGCGGAGGGACGGACGGCGGACCTCGGTGCTACGGTTGCGACTTCTGCGTGCACGAGCGAATGCGAGAGTTGAGCGGGGGAGGCAGCAGGGAGAGCGGTGATGGGATCGGCTTCTTTTATGGAGGCCAGGGCACGGGGGGAGGCGCTCCCACGACGCGAGGTGGGCGCGGGCGGCGGTTGCGCCATGACCACAGCGATGATGCGGGAGGTGGGCGACAGCGCCGACAAGCCGGGCCCAAAGTGTCGGAGAGAGAGGAGGGAGCAGCGTTGTTGCCCTGTTGAGTTGGGCGGCCCAAGAGGAAAAGAGAAAGAGGAGAAGAGAAGGTGGGCGAGCAAGCCGGTGAGGGAAAGCCGAGCCAAAGAAGCCAAAATGAGGAAGGGGGGGGGGAGGGAAAAGAATTTACTTTTCTTTTTCCAAATCAGTTTTCTAAGTTCATTTTCAAATGATTTTTGAATCCTTTTGACTTTTGGATCCAAAACCACTCAACACAATAAATGAAATGCTACAGCATGAGTACATCAACATGTATCTATCCTTATGATTGATTTTAATTTCACAAAAATTATTATTTTGCTATATTTGAATGCACACATAATTACATAAATAAATCAAATTTAACTATTTTAAAAGAATGCAACTTTTAGCGTGTTACAATATAACGGATCAAGAAAGCTTAATTACCACACAATGGTGAAAATGACAGGAAAGAAAGTATATTAGATTTTTTTTCTTGAACGACGCAGAAGAGTAAGAAGTATTAGATTATATATATTACCTCCCAACACCAAAGGCTTGAATCCGACTCATCCTCCAGACCATCGATATCCATAGCAGAAAGACTCAGTGACACCATCTTGCAACTTCATCCTCTTGTAGATTTCATCTGTTAACTTGGCACAAGAAAGACTGCCCTCCAGCAAGCATGCTATAATCGAGTCATTTGTGTTGCATGAAAGCTCCTTTGGATTCAGCTGATGACCAGAAACCTCCTTGTAATATCCATACAATGCATCAATTTCTCGCTGCCATTCAGCAGATCCAGACTCCTTGACCACCACAGCCAATTAAGCAGAGGCTCTTTTCCTCTTCTCCTGCTTCTTGTTTGGCTCTGCTGCACTGGACGCACAATCCGGAGTTGATTCCTTCGCCTTATCGCCATCCATCAGAAAACCTTTAACAATGTACATTAGGCGTCATGCACAAGCCTTTGAAAGCTCACAAGTAGCACTACATTTGGCGAAAAATATGTCATCTAGTCAGTTATTGTCCAACAAAGGTTTGACACCGAACAGATAAGAGGACAGCAAAATTATGTCATCTGGTCAGTTATTGACGCTGAACAAATCCTGCCAGGATCATATCAGGTCCCTGATCGATTCACTTAACTAATTACGTTAAGAAACCAGTACTATCAATTCAGTTCGCTTCATCAGAGCAAGCAGGATCCAGGAAACTCTTTAGTGACACTAATACTACCGACAAGAAACCCAACAACCCGTACTTGTTCTTAGAAACAATTGAAGAAAGAGGCTCATGATCCATGGGGTGAACTTTCTGAAAGGGGTTTTCGCAACGAGCACAGAACTACACAAGCGGAGACAAATCACCTTGCGGCGGCCAAGAAACGCGGGGAAACCGCTACGCGACTCTAACTCCTCCGCTCAGTTCTCCCATCAAAGCATCCAGAAATGGAAACAAACCCCTCAAATCAATAGAAATAACCCACCCAATCCAAGCAGTTCGACGCACCAAACGGGAAACCCCAAAAATTTCCCAATAACTCGCCGCAAATCAGCCCCGCGTACCTATGTGGCGCGCCCGGTCGGATTCCCCGATGATAACTGCGATTTCCCCTTTCTCTTGCCACACCTCGTGTCCCTCGTCGCTTCGGTTGAAAGGGCGTTGCTGCTGGGGGCTCAGAGGTAGGTGCCGCCACCGGTGAGGATGGAGAGAGGTTGGTGAGGGCGCTGCCGCGGTTGGTGTGGGCCGGATCTGGTCCGCGCCGCCGCTATCGTGGGAGATAGGACAAAGGAACCGCGGCCGCCGCCTCCCGCCCTGCGGCTCCCCGAGGCTGCCGAGGCTTCCCATCACGGCGGATCCGGGAGGCGGACGGGCGCGAGTGCCGGAGGCGAGGATTCCATCTCGTCTTGTCTCCCCTTCCGGTCGTCCACCAGCGCCGGTACCGGCCGCACCGATTGGGGAGGCTAGGGGGACACAGCGGATGGGGAGGGGAGCGGTTGGCGGCGTGGGGTCGGAGGCGGAGGAGGGACGCGGCGGGCGTGGGTACCGCGGGTGGTTATAGATTTCGCGGGTGAAAAAAACAGGGGTGGGAAGCCGACGCCACACACGTGAACGTGTTGATGTAAAGAGTTTCCGACCGATGTAAACAGGAATCGGGAGAGAGATTTAGATCTGAGTTTAAAGTTAATTCAAGGGACAAGAATCTAAGATGGGTACGAAATCTCTGAGTGAGAGATTATTTAGATTGCTTCGCTCCTTTATATAGTATAGAAGTATAGATTTATAGTATAGATTAACGTGCCAGGTCTCCAAAAGCACCCACGAGAACACAACTCATCCCTTCTTCCACGATCTCAGCAAGCAGCATATTCAAGGTTAGTTGCTTGCGTTGGAAGATCATTTGCAGCGAGGTTAGTATGGTACTAGCTAATCAACTTTTTCCAAGCTGGAGCTGGGTTGTCCTGACGGACCAGTTGTAGGCTTCCCAACTCATGCCATGGACCGGAGACACGTAGAGATACACGCAAATGTGCTGTGTACTTGTAAGCCTGCATCGGGAGCACTCTGTCTCATGAGACCAGCAGAAAATTGATGACTCTTCCAGGAGCTCAACTACATGGTCTGTTGGCTTGGATGAATCTGAAAAAATCTGAAAAATTTTGTGAGAGAATGAGCTTCAAACAGTGATTTTCAGCTGCCGTTCATGTCAGCCAAACAGCGCCTAGCTTTTTCCTCTGGATGATTTTCTCCAATTGCCTCCCAAACCTAGACAATAACACAAGCAATGCAGTGCACTGCTCTATGTTTTCCCTTCCATGATGCCTATATATATATATATATATATATAGTCACCCTTGTGGTCTTGCGAGGTACAAAAATATTTCACTCGTGCTGGGCAATGTAAAAGTAGGAAAAGGAAGTTTTTTTCAGCACGGTTCCACTGCTCCAATGTGTAAATCGATTTTTCACCCCCATTTCTCTCTCCCTCGGTTCGCTTCCGCATACACTGGAGCTGCCCTAGTAACTACTCTTTCATCCGGTTCGCTGGTTGGTTTTTGGACTAATAAACCCGGCTGGTGCTGGTTTATTGTGAGAGAAAAATATTCTACCATGACTGATAAGCTCTGGCTAAAACCAACAAGCGAACATGCTGTTTATGTGAAAGAGTACTTCCAGAGTGAATTCAGCTACTACACTAGTACTATTAGAAAGTGTTTTTTAAACAAGGTTTCCTCCGCTTTATTAACCAACAAATTAAAGCATAAATAAAGAGTACGTTTATCCATGGCAGGTAAACAAGTATTCAAGGTGTGCCTGCCAATTAGAAGACTGCTCAAATTGTTGGGTAGCTGATGGAAAGTCTTCACACAGTCGAATGCTTCGTCGATCTGTTCAGTGAACACGAGCCATGCAAAGAACATCCTTCTTGTGATGATCGCTATTGCCTATTGGTGCCAGTATCATCCCATTTCATTCCGACCTGTGCGTCTCTTTCTAGAGAAGAAAGCAGGAAAAAACGATCAAGCCAAAGTCAATGATATATTCTTTCCCATGGTGCCAACTGCTTTCCCTGTTCTTTCATCTTCAATTCCTCTCACCTCTCGAAGAGACCAAGACCCAACTCCTGAATCACCCCAAGAATCAATTCCTCAAATGGCAACATTCCTCGTATGAGTCTTTTGTATCTTTTGAATATGGGCCTCAAATTTGTGTTTAGATCCAGGCCCCCAGTTTTCTGTTGGAGGATGTTTTTGAGTTCGTGAGAAACTAGCTGCTCAAAAGGCTAGCCTTTCATGAAACATGGCATAACGCAATCTCTCCCTGTTGCCTCCCAAACCTAAAGTGGGGCGTCGAGAGTCTGCACAGCTAGCCCAGTCAGCGTCGGAGTACACCGTGAGGGAGTTGATAGGCCCGTTGCTGATGTGGAGGTCGGCGGACAACATCCCCTTCACGTACCAGAGGATGCGCTTAATCAGGGTGAGATGAGGTTCCCGGGGATCCTGTATGGAAAGACACACTTGCTAGACAGCATACGCTAAATCTAGTCGAGTCAATGTGAGGTACTGGAGAGCACCAGCAAGATAGCGATACTCCAAGGGATCCGCAACTGGAGCACTGTCGTCGACAGATAACATGGCATGAGCATCCACAGGAGTCGAACTAGAGCACTGTCGTCGATGGATATGCAAGTGCCAATTTTATTGAATAGCGAAGAGTTTAACAAAACACCAAGGGGGCAAAAATCAAAAACTTACAATTAATGTATCAAGTCTTCAAGTGCACTGCAAGCTACTTACGGTCTGTCCTTAACGTCAATGTAGGTAGGTTAAGTTAAAGCTACCCATAACTAGGATAGTAGGATATGCAATAATGGAATGAAATCCATTCATTCACATTGCAACATGTATTGCATCCATATACAAGTGATTATGACAAGATATAATGAATAATGAACTCATAATTGAAATGTCCTGCCGAACTTATATATATCGGCATGAGCAACAGACTTGTTCGTTCATAGTTCTTTCCATTCATGTGTCCAAAAAAACATAGCCGACGAGATTAAGGAATAGGAGACACCTGGGAAGGCTAAGATGCCTATCGCTATGTTTTTCGGTACTTTGTACCCGTTGTAATCCTGGGTCATGTAGTGTAGAGCCATTCAGGGATGTGTCCAGAAATCATAGCTGACGTTTTTAGTGCAGAGACATTATTAGGGCTCATCGAGCAGCTCTGTGAGCTGATCCTGAATGAAGCGTCTCTCCTCTGGGATGTAGGTGATCATCACGTCCAGACTGAAGATGTCGAAATGATGATGATGGCCCTGTGCGCATGGCAGTCTCAAACCCCAGGGACTCGAACACATACTCCTCCCCCATCACTTTGAACGCTGGTACCTGGAACTTAGCGTCCAGCCAGTTCGGGGTGATCTTGTGTATATACATGCTGCCCAATCAATCCATCGAAGCAAGCAAAACATTGTATTCTCCGTCTTCAGTGCCTGCCGTTTGTTGGCTAGCAAGAAGAGTGCAGGCTTGCAGCACCACATGTACATCAATTATGGCATCTATGAGAAAGTAAAATTTGCCATTGAGGGCATCTACATCAAGTAGATAGTGCGCGCACCCGGAACGATCTCGAAGTATATAGTCTAGGGCATGTAGTGTAGAGCCACACGGTAGCTTCTGATGAACATGTATAAGATGCTATACTTTTATATTACTTTTGCAAATCTTACATACAATATTTTGGTACCTAAGATAATCTCAAATAAAAAAGTTTTAGCTATAAAGTTTTAGGTCTGGTCAAGTACTAGAACTTTTGTATATGGCGTATTTTCATCCAAGTTTACTTGAAAAATTGAATTTCAAATTCTAAAAATTTAAAATGTATATTTGGGCCCAAAATGATCTGAATAAAAATGGTGAACTATAAAGTTTAAATCTTATCAATGTCTATGATTTTGATATAAAATTTGTCTTCTCGATCTCGTCCAGCTTTACATTTGAAAAGTTTATGGATTGTTTGTTTGGCATCTATTTTCAGGAGCATGCCTGAAAATTGATTTTTGATCGGGAGTGGTACTACAAATGCATATTTTCAAGGATGGTTATCATAAAAAAAAACTCCCCTGAAAATGTGATTCCAAGGAGCAGTTGTTTTATGCATGTACATCACCCCTACAAATAGGTAGATTTTTAAGGGTGATTTTTTTTCAAACTTTAAGGATGGTTTTATTAAGGCAACCGCTCCTCGAAATCAAATTCTAGGCGTGGTTTAGAAGCTATAATGCAGCAAACATTTATAGAGACAGTTTACTATATTAACCGCCCCTAAAAATGAGAGGCGGTGGTAAAAAATCATCTGTGTAGCTAGTAGTGTTAGTCATTTATAAGATCTAGCTCTTCTCTCTCCCTTCTCTCCCTCCTCCACATAACAATAAAGATGGCTTGAATTCTGATATCTACCATCTGTGGTATTGTTGAACACGCCCATTATATTCCTTGATGAGAATGCAAGGCGTCGGGAATATGCAACCACTTTTGGTAATTATGTTGTGCCTTCTTCCACGGCCTCCATGGCTAACATTCGGGCGCCAGTCATTGTAACATAATTCATTGCCGTCCTGGAGGGTAACTCAGCCGCATGCATCGAGTACCAAGACATGAAATCCTAGCGTTGCATTTGGGAGACCCGAGATGAACACATTAGGTGTTGGAGCTAGGCACCGCGTACCATCACAATCCTTGCAGCTGTCGAGTCGTCATGGAGGCCTTCATGAGATCAGGAATTCACAACCCGTTTGCTCGGTTCGGAGTACACCTGGTGCCTCTCCATGCGAGGCGCAGGGGCGTTGCCTTCACCGGCCGATCACCGGGTGTTCCCAATTTGGCCATGCCCGCTCATGATTGACAAGGGAAATAAAGCACTACAATCCAAGTCGAATAACTGGGAGCGATGTACTACGTACGTGCATGCCCAAATTAAGATCGAATAGGATCAGCAATAGAAGGGAGATGAAGGGCTCATGCATGCATGGCTTATTCGATCGTCTCTTCGCCATTGGATACGTGGCGACTGCAGGAGGGAGTGGAGACAGGAAAAGACAAAAGAGAGGGAGGCAGCCATAGGAGCTGAGGGAAAGCTAAGAACAAGCAGGGCTTGTTTAGTTCCCTTCAAAATTCCAAGTTTTTTCACTCTCTCTCCATCACATCAATTTTTAGCCGCTTGCATGGAGTATTAAATGTAGGTAAAAAAAACTAATTACACAGTTTAGTTGGAAATCATGAGATGAATCTTTTGAGCCTAGTTGGTCCACGATTGGACAATATTTACCGAATAAGACG